AAAAAAAAAAAAAAAAGGAAATTAAATACCGGGTTAAAACAACTAATGGAAGATCAAGCAAGTATTAGAGAGCTATTAATATTTCTATATAACTGAAATATGTTGCTAGGGCAGAACTCAGACGCGCATGATTTCAGACTCTTGAGATGTGATTCCCCCGATATAAATAGCACGGAATATGATGATAAAAGGACAGCCCGGTGCACAAAACTCCCACATTCACTCAGAATCCGGGTAAAGGTCGCAACCCAAGGGGTGTGATGTACTATCCTGATGCAAGCATCAGTGGCCGATTCCACGACTCGAACCCGTAACCAATAGGTCGCATGCATAAATACAACTTGACCGTTGCTAATTGCTAAAAGAGGAAAGAGAGAATTGTACATCTACTTGGCAGTCGTGGAAAGCGAGTCTTAGGAGGGCTGCAGCTGAAGAAGGATCAATTAGCATAGACCTACTCACTTCATCTTTCACAACTTGTTCTGCATTTGGACAACTGTTCCTATAGAAATTAAGCTCAAGTCTTGGACTTTTTTCTTCTTTAGAATCTCCTACAATAACTGAAAATAAACAACAGAACGTGCAGAAAAAAACAAGCACTAAAATTCCTTTTAAACCTGTCATGTTCAATAAACAGTTCTACTATACTAAACAGTTAACGGAATATTGTGAAAGAAATAGACTATAAATAACAGTAAATGTTCAGGAATTTGTAGACTAGTGTCCAAAGGTATGGATGTTGTAGTTTGTGCTTTTACCACCTGGACTATGAAGTAATTGAGTTTGACCTGTTACTATTAAGGTAGTGCAATTAAGGCTTTTTCTGGTATGAGTCAAATTAATTAATATTAATGAGGTGCGTTACGTAAAGGTAGGGAGGCAGAAACAGGAAAGTAGTTGCTCTCAATTACATACTCAGAATTAAGAAAGCTGCAGAAAATATTCACAAGTTCACAAGTTTTCCTCCTTTTTCTTCTAATTTTGTTCATTTAGAAGGAAAAAAAAGAAGAAGAGTTACATCAGAAAATATAGCCTACCTATCTTTTGCACATGGAGCTGGAGGGAGAGGCAAATGTATGAGGAAAATATAAAGCGTTTCATATTGGCTGTGGGCGAAGCTATCTATGGCCAAGGGTGGTTATCTGAATATTTTTGCTAAAAAATTATGCTATGTATAAGGTAAAATATTGGTACTTGTTATTGATTAAAAAATAGACTTTGAACACTCTTGCATAGCTCATTGCCAAGGAATGTTAAAAATTTGAATACCCTTATTGAATTTCTTGGTTTCGCCATTTGGGCTAGGCATAATTAGCTTTGTATAATAAATCATGTTTTATTCTTTAAAGCATAACAACAGTGAAATGAAAAAAATAACTATATTAATCCCAAATAATTTGAGGTCGATTATATAAATTATCTCTAGAAAAACACCAATGAAAATTTAACTTAGAAGTTAATTAAATTTACAATCAATTACGTGTCATACCCCATTAGTTAAGACCATCTATATGAATTATCTGTATTCTCAATTTTATATATTTCATCCCAAATACACCGTTTGTATCCTAGGACAAATTAAGAGTTCTTTAATACTTGATGTTTCTCTAAATCTCACACATAGTAATACTTACTAACATAAGTTTTTACCAGACTTGGAAAAACTCTAGACAAACATAAGTATAACAACAATAATCAAATCTTAGTTCCAACTCGCTGGCCAAAACAAATGAAGGGGAAAAGCCCCTTTGTTCTCCTCCAAAACTGTGGAATAAGGAAAATTCTAAATTAGTTGTAAATATTAACCGTTCTAATAACATACTAATAATTTTTGGGAAAAGTGACAAATTTGCTACCATACTACTCAGAATTGAGCAACTTTACCCTTCCATTTAGCTTTTGATTTAATATTATCCCGCAATCAAAAAATATTATATTTTTTGTCCTTGATCCTTTTGACAGAGTTCCAACGAGGATAAATTTCAAACAGTTACAAGTTGAAGCGTAAATCTAAATTTTTTTTCTTAAAAATTTTGAACACTTGGAGTCTATCTATTTCATATTGAGTTTCTTTCGTTTATGTCAATTATAAATACGAGACAATTCGATAGTGGGACAAATTTGAATCGTTTTTGGTATATTTTTTTTCAATGTAAAAAGAAAAAACTAAAAAGAAAAAGAAGAGAAAGAGTGAGAGACACAATATTAAAGCTCTTTTTATTTATAGGGAATAAAAAAAGGAAACAAAAAATAAAAGAAAAAGAAAAGGAAGAGATAACATAAGAAGGGTATCCTCATTCCTCCCTCATCTCTGTGTTATCCGAACACACGGCTCCCTGCTTCTCACCAATGTCTCTAACTTCTCCTCTCCTTCAACTTCCCCTCTCCCAATTCAAATCCCTCTCCCTTTCCACCCCTTTTATTAATGGCTCCTCTTCTCTTTCCCGTCTCTCCAAACCCTCTTCCTCAATCACTTCCCCAAACCCATCTCCCCCAGCTTTCTTGCCTCCAATTCGAGCCATGAGATCAATGCAAGGCCGAGTCGTCTGCTCCACAAATGACAAAACAGTTTCAGTGGAGGTTACCCGTCTTGCGCCTCACCCGAAGTACAAGCGTAGGGTTAGGAAGAAGAAGAAGTACCAAGCTCATGACCCTTTGAACCAATTCCAAGTTGGGGATTTTGTTCAGCTTGAAAAGACTGCGCCCATTAGCAAGACTAAAACTTTCCTTGCTGTACCTGTACCTCCGAGAAACCAGCACAAGCCCAAGGAGGAAGAGAATCTGGAACTTGGGCTTCCGCTTGAATCTTCTCTGCAGCAGAGTTAAGAGTGAGAGCTTTCTTCGGCACTTTCCAAAATCTTGTATTGTTCAGTTTCTTTTTTCTGTTGGTTCTTGTTGTGCTTTCATGATAATCATGTATTTTGATACTTATTTTTAGATGGGGAATTTATTCGGTTTCAATTCTGATTGATGCTTTTGTAGTACTCAGCTAATTTTCTCTCTTTATTTGTGAACCCGAATGTATGATTTTATCAGACCCGACCCGGAAATGAACCGTTTGGTAGTAAGTTTTCAGTTGCAAANACAATTTACTTTTATACAATTATTTATAGCCACACAAAATATATGTGCCTCATTTTACACTACACGTTAAAAAGTCTTCTCTCTTTTCTTAAACTCCGTGCTCAGTCAAATGGGTTCACATAAATTGAAACAGAGGAAGTAGATGATAAATAAGTTTTTTTTTTTTTTTTTTTTTTTTTTTTTTTTTTTTTTTTGCGAATTTCCAAATCATAGAGTTTGTTAATATGCAAAGTCAAAAACTTTGAGTTATTACTCTGGTTCTTCTTTTCCTCAGCAGTGTAGTGGAGTTCTAACTCAATAACTAGATGCAGTTTTCTTGTGATTCATGTAGGATTAGTGAACATATTAAGTAATGAAATTACTGCTTTTATGGTTAATTTCAGAACTTGATGGCCAACTAATCCAATTTAGTTATAACAGAGTTTAACTAGTTAGATCCTTTCTCTTGCAATGCGAATTTTGCTTTCAAATTGGTGGGGGCTGCATTATCCCACAACCATTGAATTATCTGTCTGACCTCCTTAACACACATATCATGCGTTTAACAGATGGTGTAGTGATAATTGTCTGTCTTTATGTGTCTTCTAAAGGTTGCTTTCTCCTTTGAACTTACCCTGCAGGAATGAAACATATGAAGCCTAAGATGTAAAATCCGTGGCTAACACTTAGAAAATTCTCAAAGCTTGATAATTTCTCTTTGTAATTGGATATATTGTTCATGGATTAGGTTCCATTTATCTTGGAGGAGAGGTAGACATTCGAATATTGTCTTTGTTTTGTCAAGAAAACTGTATCTATCGCATGCTTAGAGTTTTACTTGAGTACGCTCATCTATCACACATTACTTTTCCAGTTCTTGGATAAAAGGTTTATTCTACAGACTACACTTATTAGAGGAAAGATGCTCCGAGCAGCATATTGTCGTAATGGTTGCTATATGTAGTTAGGATAATCTGATAAAAGTTTTGCTCTAGTGTAAGCAAGAAGCTGTGTAAGTTCAGCTAGATCTTTTATCAGATTCCGATGCATAAATTGCTATTCATCTCTGTGTCTGTGAGTGGGGAAGAGATATATATTTCCTTTTTACCATCTATACCTTAGTAACAGATGAAAGAGGAAGCTGCATCAATGGGCATATCATCATTTATCTAAGTCATATTATGTACCAGCTATGATAAGAACATGCCTAATACACAAAATCTACATGTATCATTTAAGAGGCAACAAGCATATCAATATTGAAGCTAGTTTGCTCGTCGTGTACATGCATATCATCTTCCGAGTTTTATTTGAAAGCCCTGAACTCCAATAATGAAAGAAAATAGATTCCTTTAAAGATGTACCTCAAAAATCCTGTTTTGGATTCAGTTTTAAGTGCAAGCCAGGTATTCCATATTTTCATTTACATCGATGTTTCAAAATGGGTAAATCCATCCCTTGTTGTCCAGCTTGTAGTTTCATTACCCGACTTAATGTCAAAGTTGTTTGTTTATTAGTTGGTTGGGTTATAGTAGTTTCTCACTATACTTTATTTGGCAAAATGTTGTAGGTGCCCTTAGAATTTTTGGGAAGTATCAGAGATGCCCTTTTACCATTGCCATCTTTCAGCTCCCTTCATTTCTTATATCCAGTTTAATGTAGTTTGGCTGCTTCTAAGTCATTGAAATAAAACATTAACATGGAGATAATTTTGTAAATCTACTGCACAAAGAACATAAAGCATGAAAGAAGAGAAAGAAAATTATATATGAGGTGACGAGAATTCTTATAGTAGTATATACACATCTGTGTTGTAACAAGTTTCCTTTGATGGTTGTTATCTTGATAACATCGCAAGAGTCGAGAATCTGAAGTAAATATGTCTATCTTAATGTGGGGGATTACAATTATGGGGGGAAGAACTCATCACTTTATGTGAATCCTTTTCGTCATTCTATTCAGATGAAAATGGTAAAGGAGGAGGAGAACTATATCATCTGTATAATGAAATTAGCATATTTCTACCTACAAGAATTAATATGCATCGTCACATTGGAAACTTGTCTTGATCTTGTGCAATGTACATGATAAAAGGTTGTTGACAGATTCAACAGACTCCTTAGAAAGTTTAGCTGTTGGAGAGTTGCTAGTTAGAATCTGAAAAGCAATTGTTAGCAAGGATCCTCCTTCTGAACTTCTGTCTTCTGGTTTGGAAGTTATAACTAAACCCCTTGACTCTATGCCATCAGGAAGGATTGAAAAACCTGAAGGTAACACAGCAGTATTGCTCGAGTCGCAGCCTGTTATAACAGATTGCATGCCTGCAATGTCAACTGGGGCATAGACTACTGCGGATTCATAAGCATTGGTGCAAGTATCTTGGAGAATCCACATGTTGTTTTCTCTTAATTTCACTGCCTGAAAAAGAGTGTATAGTTTTCAAACTTCCAATTAGGAAAAAGTTGTAGTATTGATCATATTTCTTTAGACAGGGCAAAATCAAACTCGTTTTTTAGTAACCTGCCGATATTTAAACGGGTCGAATATATTGATCCATTTGTTGACTTCGCTCAATGAGTTGAATTCAAAATAACCCATTCAATTATTAGGTCACGACAGGTCAAAATAGTATAATCTGTCAGGTTAAAATGCAATATTAGGTAAATTTGGAAAAATTTAAACAAATAATCTAAGAAAAATGCACTAACTATCATTTTTTCTTCTAAAGGCAAAATAAAAAGAAGTAGAGGTTGGGTCGGGTTATGACTCTTTATTTGATTCATCTTGATCCTACCGAACTTTGAATGGGTTGGAGCATAATTTTTTATTAGTCTGACCTTGTATTGCCCAATCAATAAGTTTGATCGAACCACCCATTTGCCACTTTTTAGTTACTTCCTTATAGCTTACATTCATGGAAAAGGAGAAGGAAGATAAACAAAACGTCTTTCTATGAGAGGTATATACTCACTTGGATTGAGACTGCATTTCCTTTGTCCTGACCTTTTGCTAAATTTGCAACGGATTGCGCTGGACCTCCATTTGACATGACATCCCACTTAGATAACAGAATACATTGAAAAATGTCAACACTTTTTTTTTTTTTTTTTCCTTGAAGAGAG